AGCTGGGTGGATCTCAACAGTGATGTCGGGATCTGTACCTACTGCGGCGTCTGAGTATACAGCGAGCTGTAGCTCCTGATATACTGAGCTTTGGGTGACGGGAGGACGCTAGTTTGTGTCCTCCTGTTTACCCTTAGGCGAACTATGGGGAAAAGCCCTGACCCCATAGTTCTCCTTTAACTACACTGTCCGCTCCCACTCAACCTGTTAGTTGCCAATATAGGATACCTGCTTCTGGCTCTTTAGGCGAGCTGGTGTATCCGACACTGAAGATGGGAAGGTGTGGTCTCAACGTGCCTGCAGCCTGTGCTCCGGGTCAGATGTGACCAAAGCTGTGGGCAGGGAGGGGCCAGTCAAATCTGCTGCACGCTGAAGAGAGGGAGGAGCAGGCCGAATGTTGCTACGTGCGGGAGGCAAAGACTATTGGACGCTGAAGAAGATGAAGGGGCGGGCCGACTGTGCGGGCCGAGTGTCCCTGCGGGTAGAGGCAGCCACCTACGCTACGTGCAGGAGGCAAAGATTCGAGGAGTCGACCTGCGATCTACCACCGTTCGCTTTGCGATCGACTGGTAGATTGTGATCGACTTTATGGGCACCCCTGGCCTAGACCTTCTCAGGGTTTTATTCCTCCTGTTGCTTATTACCCCTGTTATACTCAATAAGGAGTGGCTGCACTTTACTTTAGCAAAAAAGCACAGGCAATGCCAAGGCTAAACAGCTTTATAGAGCCCATGGCCTCTACCAAGAAAGTTATATTTGTTCCTTGTTAAAGGTATAATTTAAGACTAGTTGTAGAAATGGATACAGAGGGTAGTGATAAATTAGTTATTTTCTGAATAATCTTACATTATGAGTGGGAGTATCCCAGGGTTTCACCCTGGGACCAATTCTTGTTTGTAAATGATATAGAGGGCTTCAGGCTAGGTTCACACCAGATGCAGTGCGTTCCAGCCCGATTCAGAACACACTGCATCGCAGTGTGGGGCAGGAGGGGGCGTGACGGGGCATTGAAGTAAATGGCACCATAGCCACGCCCTTCGACCGTAATGTAATCGGACGCACGGGATCGCAAGACACATTGTGCCTGCGGTGCGGTGCAATCAAAATAGTGCTTGCAGCATTTTGCTCGGACCGGACCGCAGGCACAATTTGCCTTGCGATCCCGTGCGGCCGAAGGGCATGGCTACGGTGCCATTCACTTTAATGGCCCACCACGCCCCCTCTTGCCCCACAAAAAAAGTGAGCTGGCCGCAATGCGATGCAGTGCGTTCTGGCCAGAATCGGGCATCTGGTGTGAACCTAGCCTCAATCTCAGTGTTTGTGGTTAATACCAATCTTTGTATTATAAAGGTGCCCATTCACCTTACAATTATCTGCAGATTTTCTGTGGTCAGATGGAAAAAGTGCAACCGATTGGCCCAAGTGGAGATTACTCCATCCACACAGTTAAGTGTAGATGGAGGAATCTGTTGCACTTTTTCCATCTGACCACAGAAAATCTGCAGATAATTGTAAGGTGTATGTCCAGCTTAATACCTTCACAAAAGGATATAGAATTACTACAGCAACATCTTCATAAAATTGAAGGGTGGACAGCTATATATAAGACGAGGTTGAATATTGAAAAATGATTTAAAGCTATACACTTGGGATCTAAACATATGTACACAAGATACTCTTTAAGAGGTGCTTCTCTGGGAAAGATCTGGGGGTCCTGGTAGACCACAGACTCGGCAATAACATGCAGTGCCAAGCCAGCAGGCTACTACCTTGCATAAAAAAAGGTATTTACGAGATTACAAATTTTTTTTTACCACAACTATAAATTACTGGTTTGGCCTCACCTTGAGCATGCAGTTCAGTTCTGGCCACCAATTCTCAGGAAGGATGTCCTTGAACTAGAGAGAGAGTTCAGAGAAGGGCAACAACATTAATAAAGAGGATGGAGGACTTCAGTAATGAAGATGACCTCCAGAAATTAAACTAGTACTTCTTGGAGAAGAGGCGCTCAAGAGAAGATACTGTATGACCGTAATATACACATTTATCAATGGTGACTGCAATATATGAAATATAGAAACTGTTTAATCAAAGGGTTCTGAAAAAGACAAACAGGCGAGAACATGAAGTTGGACTAGAAACCATTATAATGTAGAACTCCCTTGCACAATGATTGGTATCGGGTATGTGTAACACACACAAACATATACAGGTTGAACTGGATGGACCTGTGTCTTTTTTTAAACTTACCAACTGCGTAACATTTATAAATATGGCCCTGTGAGCAGAAAGCATTTATCACAGACTCAGACTGTATCTGAAGCCAAAGGCCATTTTCCCCCTAGTTTTGGGTAGATAAGGTAAGAGTTATTAATTTATTTTTCTTTGCTGTCTAGGTCTCTGAGAGGGAAAGTCCAACAGTTTGAGTTGTCATAGATACAGAACTAGTGTATAAAATAAGGTCATATTTGAAATTAAATTCCTTCTATATCTTAACTTGTACACAGCCTGTAACATTGTTGTAGAAGTTTCAAGTGCCCAGTATTATTTACAATTAGGGATGCACCAATACTAAAACCAGTATTGTTATCAGTGCTGATACTGGGCATTTGCATGATTTAATCGTGAAAATGCCCAGATGCTAAGTGCCAATATAAGGTCCTGCGCTTGCCGGGGACCTCACAGGGGGCTGTTTACAGTGCTGATCCGGCCGCACATCTCCTCCACCTGCCTGCATCCGAACGTACAGCCCTGGTTGAGACACTGCACTTGCCCTGGTTGAGACCCTGCACGCAGCCCTGGTGAGCAACACAGAGTAAGTAACTTCATATTATTCTGCGGTTCGGATCGCGCAGACTTACTGTGTTTCCCCAAAAATAAGACACTAGGTCTTATTTTCGTGGTAGGTCCTATTTCTTATTTGTTTGTTTTTTAATGTACAACAATCCACACTTATTCATGTGGAAAATTCTACATGTATTCATGTACAAAAATATGGTGATCAGGGCAATCGGGTGCTGTACCTTTCCAAGAGCAATTTGCTAACCAATTGCTGGCCAGAATGAGCAAAGCGCGCTTTCACTATTGATTCCTCACAGGCGAGGTGCATGTGGTATAACTGCGCCTGTGACAGGAGCCGGCGCTATAGAGGAAGCATCGGCTTAGACAGCGGCTCTTCTCCCTCCACTGCCGCCTCGCTTCCTCTAGCTCTGGCTTCGTTGGCACCGCTGATTCTGTCCTGCCTCTGCCGCATCTCTTCAAGTTCCACCCTGTGCCACCACCGGCCCTGGGAATGGTCACAATTAGGTCTTATTTTCGGGGTAGGTCTTATTTTCGGGGAAACAGGGTAGCAATGTATGGGATCGTTCATGTCGGCGGATCCGTGAGGCCAAATCTGTACGACCGAACCACCCTGATGTGAACGGGTTCTGAATGTTTGTTCTTTGTAAATAGAGACCTGAAAATGAGCATCAACAATCCAATCGGAGAATGCCTAGTATTCATTGAGAACAATACTAGGCGTCGTCTGAATGACCACTATGCTCAGTGAGCGACTCTCTGTTTTTTAACAGCACAGGGAAGACCCTCAGTATAGTGGCTGTATTAGGATCTGGAAAGCACTGTGATATACTGTAGAAGCGGTGGCTACTACAATGTATCATTGGATCTCTGTGGCCCTGCGAGGGATCATACGGTATATATACTTACATTGTGCCCAGCTGGACCTGTATATATATCTTCTTTTTTTTATTTTTTTTTAAGCTGGAGTTGTACTTTAAAAAGATGTTCTGCCTTGTGATATATTCCCTGTGAAGAAACTACATTGAAATTTGACCATTTTTTTTTTCTTGGAGCTTCAAAGCTCATTCCCCATATAACCATCTTTCCTTCTCCCTCTATAATTTACATGTGACTGGTGGCAACCTTTATGATATTCATTTATTTATTTATATAGTGCTGCTAATGCATTTCGAACTTTACAAAATTACATTTTACATTTTGCACGGTATATATATCTCTTCATGTGTCCTTCCTGCCCTAACTTTGGTTCTAAATTCTAATTCTATTATTTTTAGCCTAAAATGGGCTTTCAGTGTGGTCCAGGGTGTTTGCATGCATTTGTGATGTTAGCTACCCCTTACTACATCTCCCCGCGTCCCTTGCCGATTGTGGATGGGCAGGAAATGTGAGGCGGGGAGGAGGTGCGGCGTGTGGAGCGTGGATGCGAGCGGGTCTGGCAGCGGCAAGTGTGAGGTGGGGAGGAGGTGTGGCGCACAGCGTGTGGAGCTGTGAACAGGGCCAACTGATCGGAAGCCGATTAATCGATTATTGAAAAAGTTGACCACTTTTCCAATAATCGATTATAATCGATTATGTCGATTAGTTGTTGCAGCCCAAGTTTGCATGCATTTTGGTGCGCTCCAGAGCATAAAAAATAGGGCATGCTGCAGTTTTTCCACATGCTCTGGAACTGAACGCTCTGGTGTGAACTAGAGCCAAACATACCATTGGAATACATTGGATGCAGTTTTGAGGTGTTCTATATTTGCTCTGCATCTGCTCCGCACTTGGTGTGAACTAGCCCTAAGGAGGCCAAAAATGGCCATAAAATACTGATGGGGGTTGTAATCCCTCACCATGCTACCCAAAATAAAAATAAAAGTTTTGGCTTTTTACTTTGTTACGATGACAATAAACATTTTATGCAATTTCTCTTCGTGTCTGTGGGTACAGTTTGCAGTCCCTATTTTATCAGTGTTATATGTATTACACCAACTTTCATGTGCTAAATTGTGCTTTACTGTAATGATGAAAAGTGCTGCATCACTTTGATGGCTGCTCTGTAGTAAAGCACTTCTCGAGGTTATTTTGGCTAGAACAAGATATACAAGTCATGTCCCCAGCATCACAGCTATGCCACATTTCACCAGTAGGAGAGGCGTGCTAGCAGCTGCTGCTGGCTTTAGCACTTCTGTCTATAAATATCAATGAGCCAATGACTGCAGCCACAGGCTATGTGTGCTGCCATTGAACTTGATAGGGTTTTCATCAAACTTCTAATCTCAGTGACTCTATCAGTTGGAGTTCTCCTCATCTTCAGCTTCTTCCGGCTCAGGAGAAGAAAGACAGAAATTACTGGTTAGTACGCTTTAAATTAACTTTATCTTTAATAGTTTAGCATTGGGACATGCAGCAATAAAAGAAAAAAAATGTAAGAAAAAATTTATTGGTTGCATGCTTTAACTGCATAATTATTGCAATAAACTACCTGTACAAATGCACACTGTGTAATAGTTTTAGGTATTTTGCTATTGCTTTTCATTAAGTGAAAGAATGTGGAGGCTGCCATTGTTCAACTTCTTTAGATCCCTAGTTGTCATGCTGATCCAATAGCTTCCGTCTGATTCACTGATCCGAAACAAGTATGCAGATCAGAAATGTTGCCTGTTGCTGTGTGCTTGTCCTGGGTCAGTGACTTAGTATGGCAACCATAGACAGCCAGAACACTTGCCTTTTCAGGAGGTCAGCAGTGACAGGCTCTGTATTTTCTTAGTACAGCTTTCCTTTACATAGGAAATGTAGGAACACTGCCAGTTACTTGATATCATCTCAATGATAATTAAAGTCAAAGTAAATTTAAGCTGTGTTATAATGTTTTCTAACTCTGTGATCTAGCTTGACATGTGTCAGAACTACAGCAACATCGAGGTCCTGGCTGTTGAGCTTGGCTTTACATACACTGGATTACTAGTGACGGCCTTAGCGTGCCTCTGTTGACTGGCACTCGGCTTTTTGGATGGGACTGATGAGTTTGGGCATGCAACGTTTCTATGTCCTTTGCCTTCTTAAGAGTTTGTTTATAATAAAATAGATGACAGAACAAATTGCCCTTTAAATGAACAGTTTGATATCTTTGCAGCATCTAAATGATTGGGTGACATGATGGTCATACATATCACGTAAGGTTTTTTGTTAAATGGTCCATTTAATAATAATACTCTCCGATAGACTAGCAAATGTATAGTGAGAACAATTGGGCACTTTTATAAACTGGATTAAGCTGAAAACTCAACAGTTTCTGTAATTTTGTTTTTCCTAATTGCTCAACCACAAAATAGTGACAAGTCAGCAAACCTGTACTCATCTATGCTTCAGAAAAGATATACCCAGATTTTAGGAAAATATAAATAGGAAAAACATTGCCCTGTTTTCACTCAGCCATAGTTTTATAACTAGCTCCAGCTTCAAGCTGGAGCGGTAAAGGTTTTGATCTCCTACCCGATACCTTCCGTGCTGGTCCTGTGACAGCTAGGCTCTGCTAGAAGCTGAAATTGTCCAATTAGCGGATCTTCAATGTACAAAAAATGCAGACCTGAGATTGGAACCAGAAGTTTCAACTCATAGCAGAACCTTTAAAGTGATAGTAAACTCAGGAGTTAAATCTTAAAAATGCATTCAGGTTCCTTAACTATTAACAAAAATGTATCTTATTTGTGCATCACTCGGCTGTAGGTCCTCAAATAATCTCTGAATTGGTGATGACACTGTCCTTCCTTCTGGAGGGTGCCTTATTTTGTTCCTCATGGTCCCTGTGTGTTGTAAAGTAGCCACTGGTCCAAGCTCACTCCTGTGAAGGGACTACAATCTCAATACAAATGAGTAAACTAAACTTGAGATTGTAGTCCATCCCAGGAGTGAGCTTGGAGCGGTGACTACTTTACAGCACACAGGGACCATGGGGAAACAAAAGTAGTCACCCTCCAGAAGGAAGGACAGTGTCAGCATGAATTCAGTGATGATTTGAGGATCTACAGCTGAGTGATACACAAATAGACTATAGTAGTGTTACTAGTTGAGGTATTTGAATGCATTTTTTTAAGATTTAACTTGAGTTTAGTGTAATGTAACAGAAGTAGGGTTCAAACTGGGGATGCACAGATACCAGTTCAGATACCAGTGTCGATACTTGATGCTGTCACATGACACTAAAAAAAAAAAAAGTGTCAGTATTTGGTATCTATGAGGGCAAATATCGGTAATTGGACTTGGTCTGGAAAAAATGGTATTGGTGCATCCCTAATATAAACTATATATATATATATA